TATATATAATACAAGTAAAAACTAGTGCATTACATTTGTGTTTTCTCTCCGCTAACAAAAAGCATAAATATAGAGAGGGCATCTCCTTTTTGTTCATACGTTTGACCAGTATATAGGCATGATTCATCCCCTTAGAGTCGTCTACACAACTTGGTGTGACCCACTGTGCTTGCTGTTGTTAAATTAATACACTAGTGACTTGAGCGATTTTCGTGCTTCACGAACTCTTTCAGGATGCTGGTGAGTGCGAAGAAGCCTACTTAATTCCCCAGGCACCAGTGGCGCCCAAACTTCCTCCAAGTCGACCGCACGCCACTGCGCCAACTTCACACAGGTATTGAGGAAGGGCGTTCGCCGTTTGCACTTTATTTGAATTGTCAAAGTGACCTGTGTAGAAATTCTGCATTGATTGGTTTTATATTTGATGACAGTTTGCACTTTCAATCCCATTTCTTGGCGAGCTTTCCTAAGAATGATGTGATTTCTCATAAATATACTAGATTTTTCTCTAAAGAGTTCTGATTTTCATACATATCCTTCTCATTAAGTTCTGGGAGTTCCTTGTTTAGTTTCGATCCCCACTAATAACATAAGTGTTTTGGGATGCCTTGAATTATGACTTGCGTGTGCATGTATTTGTATGGCACCTGTATTGTGTTGAACGGTTCCTTTTCTTTTGATTGGTTGTACATGCTTTATTCCGCTGCCCATCAACACAGTTTAGATAAATCTTGTACGCAGACTAATTTGTGCCTTCGACACATATTTTGCAATCATTTAGGTGGTGGGCTTCGACCCTGCTATCAAGGCCAACCCGAGTCGAGGGACACAACGTCCCAGCGAAAAGACTGACAAACTCGATAAACATTCTCCCCTCAGGGGAATTGAACTTATGTCTTCTGCTGCGTACATGGTCGGTCTAATCTTCTTTGATGACGTGAAGTCCCCTCCGTACTACATTCATTGTCTCGAAAATATAATCAGTTTTCTTAATGCGTTGATTCCACAGTTCTTGTATTCCAGCGGTATTGTATTAAGTCCCTCTCTATTCTCTACTTTTGTATTTATGCGTATATAGGTCTACATTATGTTTTATCTGAACATGTCTGACTACTGGAAAAGTTACCACCCCCCCTCCCCCCACACTGCTATTTATCGTTCTCTCTCATTTTTACTTTTCTTTCTTTTGCTCTGTCACTACTGTCAGTTACTTGCCTTTTTATTTTGTATTTCTATCAGGCCAACCTCTCTCTCCTTTTCTGCCCCCCCCTCCCAACCACCTATTCTCCGCCCTCCCTCCCTCCCT